TTAGTGAGTGTGTAGACCTGCATCGGGTTCTGTGTCTGCCCTGTCCACGGGGTTGGTGAGTGTGTAGACCTCCATCGGGTTCTGTGTCTGCCCTGTCCACGGGCTTAGTGAGTGTGTAGGCCTCCATGAGGTTCTTTTGTAGCTGCCTGTTTTAGGGCAAATGTTAGAGCACCGAGGGGGAATTGTGGAACGTGCTCCTGGAAATGAGAGCCGTGCCGGTTAGCTGCCTCTTCACCTTCTCCATGCAGGGAGATGTTCTTTACCACCATGGAGAGCCACCTCCTGCGCTGCAAAGTGTTGGAGATCATATTCCTGCACAGCTGCGAGACGCCCACCCGCCTGCCCCTGTCTCTGGCCCAGGCCCTCTACTTCCTGAACCATTCCACGTCGCTGCTCAAGTGTCAGGTACCTGCCTCCCTGCTTCAGTTCAGGCCAGGACACCTTCCCCAACCTTTGAGCATCATGTCCAAGTGACTAGGAAACGGCACGAAACCTTTAACTGAGGGAGGCGGTTATAGCAAGTGCTCTTACTGTCTCCACAGTCGGACAAAACCCAGTGGCAGACGTGGGATGAGCTGGTCGAGCACCTGCAGTTTCTGTTATCCAGCTATCAACATGTTCTCAGAGGTAAGGAGCATTTGCACACAAGATGGTGCGGGAGTCTCATGGGGGACAGTGTTATGCATTAAAGTTACGTGGGGATTCCAGTCAGTTAGCATTGTTCCTGGGTTGTACCTGTAAGGAACAAGGAATGACATGGCTGGAATCACTGCTATGAAACAGAGAGCTCACCTGTTCATGACAGTATGTAACACATTGGTCCTCACCAGTATGAGTGAGCAAGAGTCACCAAAACATGGGAGGTGCTCAGTCATTTCCTGACCAGCCCTGGCAACTGACCCGGCCCCTCACTGCCATGTCTTTGCTGGGTCGATTGCTCACTGACTGTGGACATTATAAACATCGTCAGTATGATGCAAACACAGCGCGCATCAGTGGGAGGTCAAAGTGTACATCCTACAAAAGATAGAAGACATCCTAACGTCTGTCAGAGCGGCTCTGCTCAAATCCCAGGCGAAGCTGAGAAAGCTGCTTCAAATGAGAATGATTGGTTAGCCCAGGGTTAATGGGGCCCTTGGAAAAGTGATGTAATTATTAATTACAAAAGGAAAGATAGCAACTTCAGAAGAAAACTGGCATTCCTCTTGAGGTGATGCCCCGAGGACACCTCAGGCTCATATATGTAATATTCTTGCCAAAAGTCCATGACCTTATCACAAGGAGGATCAGAAAAACCCATTTTGAGGGATTTCACAGAACTGGCCTGTACTCCTCAAAAGTGCCACTTTCTTCAAAACAATGGAGGAACGAGAAACTGCTCCATTTTAAAAAGGAACTAAAGCATGTGAGTACTAAATGCAAAACATGGTCCTAGAGGGGGTCCTGAACCAGGAAATAAGAAGCTAGAAAGTACATTATTGGGACAATTGATGATATTTAAACAGATTATAGAACTGCATTAATATTAAATTTCCTATTTTTGATAATTATCCTGGCCTTGATCTTAGGAGATCTATACTGAAGTATTGAGAGATAGAAGGGCAGCATCTTATTCTCAAACAATAGGAAAAGTGTGTATATAAAATTTATCTGCATGATCCTGTTGAGGTTGATTTTAGCTCAGTAGAGGCACTTGGGAAGGTAAGAAAGTCTTTATACCCTCCCGGGCCTAGAACTGAGGCTGATGTTGGAGAGACAGGAAAAAAAACCCTCTGGATTTAAGACAGAAGAGCAGGGTTTAAGTCCAACCCCAGCACTTACTCTGCGTTGTGCAGCTAACTTGGTCTCTAGACCTGTTTCTCCTTCTACAGAATGGGGTTGGTAATATTTAACCTGCCAATGCCGCTTGCAAGTGGGTGTGAGGAAAGAGTAGGCATGGCTCAGGCATTGTGAGTGGACCTTGGTCTGCCTAATTTGCCTAAACAGGGGTAAGCTCCAAGGGTCTCCTCTGTTTCAAGTTCTTGTAACCGAACAGAGTGCATTGTCAAGGCCACAGCATATGCTTGCGTAGTCGGGCGTTTCTAGCACTCCCAAAGCACAGTACATAGCCTTCTCAGAACAAAGCCCCAAAGGCAAATTCCATGGTGCTTAGCCTCACTGAGCTTTATGTAACTATTTCTTTTGGAGATCTAGCAGAAAGTTTAATATTAAAGCAGCTTGTTTTTGTTTAAAGTTCACCTTTAAAATGTCTTGTTCATTTGTTTTGCTTCCCAGGAAATACACCTGCGTCATGGGCAATAGTGACTTAACATAGACATGGATTCTGGTTTAATTACAGAATATTCTTATGCTTCAAATAGGGAAAGGGCCCTAACCGGTTTGGCTCAGTGGATAGAGCGTCAGCTTTCGGACTCAAGGGTCCCAGGTTCGATTCCGGTCAAGGGCATGTACCTTGGTTGTGGGCACATCCCCAGTATGGAGTGTGCAGGTAGCAGCTGATCGATGTTTCTCTCTCATTGATGTTTCTAACTCTCTATCCCTCTCCCTTCCTCTCTGTAAAAAATCAATAAAATATATTAAAATTAAAAAAACAGAAAAGGGAAAGGAAGGCCTCAGATCAGCATACAGGGGTGGCAAAAGTAAGCTTACAGTTGTAATACAAATAAAGAATACAATAATTAGTAAATAATATAAATATAAACTTTCAAGTACTCACAAACGTAAGCCTCCCTGTATTGAATAAATGGGCTGTGATGCGATGCTATTTTATCCTGACATCCTCTCCAGCTTCAGTAGTTTGAAAGTGTCCTACCCTGAATGGCACCCTCAAATGGTCAGTGTCCTGGTCAGTGAGGGCTCCCTAGTCCTCTCTGCCTCTTCACACGGTCTGAGGACATTTGGAGCTCAGCCCGAGTTGTCAAAGGTGGGGGAGAAAAGGGAGAAGTTGAAAAGCCTCTTAACACGGAGAGAGGAAGGAAGCTAAGCAAACTCACATACACTAGCTTATGTCATCCAATGACCTTGCAGAAGTCACTGACCTTTTACAGATGGGGACACAAAGACTGAGAAGAAAGGAAAGGCAGAGCCAGGACTCAAACTCAGGGCTGTTGCCAAAGTCTGTGCAGTGAAAACACTGGAAGGAATTACTTTCCTATGAAATCGCTAAGTGAAATCAGAAAGTGAGTCTAAGGCAGGGGTGGGCAAACTTTTTGACTCGAGGGCCACAATGGGTTCTTAAACTGGACCGGAGGGCCGGAACAAAAGCATGGATGGAGTGTTTGTGTGAACTAATATAAATTCAAAGTAAACATCATTACATAAAAGGATACGGTCTTTTTTTTTTTTTTTTTAGTTTTATTCATTTCAAACGGGCCGTAGTTTGCCCACGGCTGGTCTAAGGAATTTCCAACCCCCTTTTCTAAACTCCCTACCCATGATTAAATTACTTTCGTATAGACCCTTGACCTTGGGGAGAAGTATAACCCGAACCTTCACATTTTACAAACATTTCCAGAGGCAGAGCAGCCCCACAAGACATGGGTGCTGGGCTGTCTGTTGAACTCATTCTCTGGCTAAAAGAAACAATGCCCCACACCCCCGTTTCTGAGCACAAATGTATTTACTCATTTAGCCTACCCTACAGTGCAGACGAAATGGTTTCACTTAAACAGTTACTATAATAAACCAACACCACAATAAACTTACTAAATATAAGTTCAATATTTCTTTGCAATTCTTCCATACTTAGGAAAAATCTACCTGAAGATACTCAAAATTCACTTGAATATTTTTCAAGTGGTTATATTAATCTTAAGTATAGTTTCATTGTTTAAACCAACAAGGGAAAATTAAAATGGAACAGAAATTTTTTTTAATATGAAAAACTTGATTACCAGAGAGAACAAGAACAATGGACCTTTTGGAAATAGTTACCACAAGTACCCACTTGGCCTTTGACTTGTGTCCCAGTAACTAGTCGACAAGTCTTTGCCCAGACCCTGCCTAAAATTGGACTTCAGTGTCTTCAATCATAAAGGGATAAAAAGCAGTTCTTTTCAACTGACTTGTTCCCTCTTGCAGAGCATTTGCGGAGTTCGGTGATCGATCGAAAAGACTTAATAATCAAAAGGATTAAGCCCAAGCCCCAGCAAGGCGATGACATCACAGTGGTGGACGTGGAGAAGCAGATTGAGGCCTTCCGCAGCCGCCTGGTCCAGATGCTGGGGGAGCCCCTGGTCCCCCAGCTCCAAGACAAAGTGCACTTGTTGAAGCTCCTGCTCTTCTATGCTGCGGACTTGAACCCCGACGCAGAGCCCTCCCCCAAGCACTGGAGCAGCCCCTGAGGTCCTGCTATGCACTGAGCACCAAGAATACCTCTTGAACTGTATCACCAACTACTTGCAAGTTCTGAAAGTATGGAAAGTAGTTAAAAGTCTTACAGGACCAAACCTATCTTATTTATCTGTAGGCTATAATAACTTTCTAACTCTTTAGTAATACCTTTTTTAAAATAATACTATCATAGCCTATTCTCAAATATGGCTTAAATATACAAGGTGTATATATTTTTTGATAAATTATTTATCTATACTTTTTGAAACAGGTAATACTATATGCACTTACATGTTTAACATTTCCATTCAGGATGTGAAAAAAATCCCTCTGAACAAATCCTAGACATCAAATGTTACTCAAGGTACTGATGACCCGTTTCGAAAGAGAAAGACACATTCATTTCTCCCCAATGGAACACAAACATCAGTATTAGACCTGTTATATTGCCTATGAATTTGATTTTGTGGCAAGTCTATTAAGATCTAATGTAATAGGGGAAGGATGGAAGGTTAGAAATAAGAGGATGAGTGTTATAAAAAATGTTAAAAGAATACAATAAAAAGGCAATCGTTTTTCAAAATACCAAGTTTACCTGCTTACCATGACTATGAGTAAGCAGAATGCAATAACGACTCTTAACAGGACAAAAACAACAGCTATGCACATTTGAGAAAGTAGTAAGGAATTTTATTGTCAAAACAAGTAAGAGATACGAGCTTAACAGAAGACACAAATAAATTAATTGTTTTCATCCTTTGAGATGCAGGGCCTCTCTGGGGAAGGCTCAGCCCAGCTCCCTATGTAGACACGACCCCTCCAAAGCAAGAACAGCAGAGTCTGAGACAGTTCAGGACAAGGACCGCCCACGGCCGCGGTGGAGGATGAGCAGGTGCTTTCCCTGGCTCCTGTCCCCAGCACGCTCTGTGCTTACACAGGTCCGAGGCTCGTTTGGGGACAACGGTTGCATGTAGAACCTTTTTTCATCCTTCTATGTGGCTCTTAGAAAGAGTTTCAGGTCCTGGTGACACTTGTTTCACATGAACGTCTGGACTAGAATCTACGTATAGTTACCACCATCTTTATTTTAAAAAACCTTAACATCCATTAATCTACACCAAAGCAGTAGGCTGCATTTTCTCCCTTAGAAACTTTCCTACCAAATTGGAGTTAACTTAATCTCACTTTAAAGTGCAGCAGAGGATATGCAAGACTTGTGTTTGCTGACAGGTGAAGAGAAGCGCTGCCCAGCAGAACTGCCCTGGAGGCACCACAGTAGCAGCCGGCTCTGCCCTAAAGCTAGAGCGAGGGCTCCGGTCTCCACGCAGGAGAAGGGTCCCTGCCAAGTCTGGCTCTTCTTCGTGCCCAGATCTCAAACGGATCGTAGGTCCCCGCAGCCACAAGGATGGAGCACACAGCACCAGCCGCCAAGAGGGCCAGAGACTAGACAGCACCTCTACTCCCTGACTTACCCATGCCCTCGCTGACCCTGGTCTTTAAAGGAATCAAGAAGTCTTGGTTTGGGAACAACATAAGCATTATCTACCTCGTAAGCAATGATCAAGTTCTTGTCTAGGCTAAATAATGCAAAAACAGGTGATCAGGCCTCCATACGTCACTGCTGAGAGTATTCAGTCTAACTTCAAATTAAAGCAATGCACAATGGCTTCTTCCACACAGGACAAGCTTTGCACTAATGTTTCTCAAAAACCAGTAATGTCTCCAGTTCTAGCCCCAGGTTAAGGTTTAAAAAAACAAAAAAAAACCAAAAACAAAACCATTCCTATGTCAGAGCCAGGGTAATAAGGAAGTGGGTGCAAGACACCTCGATTCAGTCAATGGAAGAGAAAGCTCTAGAAGCCGGTGGGTGTGAGCACATTCAAGTCCCGGGGTTTGAGATTATGGGTCCGAGGCGGTTGTTTCTTCCCTTCCATCACTGGGAGGTCCATCTTGGGCGGCTTGAAGGTGGCTGGATCGTCGGCCATCCGCGAGGCCTGCATGCGCATCAGTTCCATTGGAGAAGGCTTCTGGGCGCCTCTGTAGGGCTGGGTGGCAAAGCCTCCTGCAGAAGGAACCAGAGCAAACGATTTCAAAAGCAGCAAGCAGCTCCTGCCGCACACGGTAAATGCCGCACACGCTTTCTCTCTTGAGGGAGCTGGCTTACCCGAATCAGACTTCTGGAGGGATCTTGGTCCAAAGAAGCTCCATTTATCTGCCGAGTTTCTGTCTTTATCCCCAGAATCCATGGTGCTAAAATGTGGGCCAGGTAAGGCTGTGGAAGAGCCCGAAGAGAACCAGCCTCTGGCAGAGAAAGAACACAACAGCCAATAGATCTCTTCCCAGCCCCCGGGAAGTGCCTCGTGCGAAAAGCCTAGGAACGGTCAGCTCCCCCTTCTCGCTCAGAAACCAGGCTGCAGCCCCACGTTCGCACATGCAGGCTCACCTCGGCTTCTGCCTAGGGGAAGAGTGGGGGGTGCTGCTGGGGGTGGACTGGGCGGAGGCCGGCTGCTTCTCTTCCCTCGTTATCTCTCCACTCTGTAGTTTTAGTGTCTGTTCAGATGGGTAAGAAGAGAGACGTGAGCCAAGTTTGGGTATAAACATCCTGGTCCACACCAACTTCAGGCAAAAGGAAGACATTAATAGGCAGAATAATTTTGGATTATAGAATAGATATTCCTTTGATTTTGTCATACTAGATAGACATCCATCTTTTAAAAAAAAGATTAATTCTACAACACATCTTCAACATTTCTGCACTAAATACTACATTAGAGCTTTTAGTTTTCCCACCTCATCCAGCCAGTAAGTGCAAGAGCCAGAACTCAAGCTGCAGGCCTTCTGTGCCTTCTCAGTATGGCCTTGAACTCTTCCCTTACTGTCTCTCCTGCCACGGACAATCCGTCACGCCCGTCACTCGGGCATGCTACTCCTCCAGCTGCCTGCTTCCTCTGTGGAGCCTGCCCATCTGAACCTTTTCCTCCCGTAACCAGCCACCCTGGTTCCTTCCGCTCTGTAAACATACCGCTGACATACAGACAAGCGGCTGCCGGGGGGGAGAGTCTACTTCCCAGTTCTTCCAGGTCGAGGCTCCCTGACTGCCTCTGTGCTCCATGTCTGGAGTGCCAATGCCGAGCCCCAACCACATCCAAACCAATGCCCCTGCCTGAACACTCAAACACTCCCCCTAACACTTCCCTCAAACACTCCACGGCAGCTTACGCAAGCGGCACCTCAGCTGGCTTTGTGTTCTAGTGCGGTGGCCAAGATGCAGAAAATGGCCCAAAGTCAACTCTGCCATTATGCAGGGCGAATTGCTCAACTGGAACTCAGACACGGATCCTGGGAAGTTCTCCGAATCAGAGACCCACGTGCCCCTCTCCGGAAGCATCTGTCTTGTCTGACAGCTCACACTGGCCAGCCCAACTCTGATGCCCCTCAGCAGTGGTTTTTATACCCAGCCTGCAAACATCATCTGGGATGCTCATTAGGAAATGCGACAGTCCACAGGTCCTACATCCCGCCCACAGGCCACTCGCTGCACCTCACTCTTCCGTCTACATACTGTGGGCATGATCCTCCTTTGAGGCCTTCAAGAGCCAGGGTCTCTGACAACTTTGGAATATGGGGGAAACACCAAGAAATAGGGCATCAGGAGACTTGAGCTCAGGTGCTGTGAGGGGTTAAGTACATGAACTTGGACGCCAGTCTCTGTATTGATAGGACATGAAGAACAGTTTCTACCTCAGAGGATTAACACAAAGAATAAGTGATGCGAGTGCCTCAGAGATCATGAAGCACTGTTAAGTACAGAGTGGTGTTCCTTGAGCTAAAGTCATTAGAAATTATTTCATTCATACAACTATTTGGTCATCATTAACCTTACCAAAAATTAGTCTTCATTCCAATTTTAGAATAAAGAGCAAAACTTCCCAATTCTGCACTTGCTTTTAATTTTTCAAACACAGAGCATGCCATTCTTTCCAGCGAGTGTCGTGCCTCTGACATTGCCGATGCTCCTCTCCCCTCAGCACCCATCGCTCTGGTACAAGAAGCGACCCACACTGGCTTTACTGTTCCTGACGTGCTCGCTCTCTCTCCCTCTCTCTCTCTCTCTCTCTCTCTCTCACACACACACACACACACACACACACCACATGCATGAGCACAGAGGCTCCTCTCCTCCTCCTGACCAGACACCCCCACTTCACAGACAGATAAGCAGAACCTTCCGGGTAAGAGCCCTGGACCTTAGGGCTCCCTGTGCCACCACAGGTGGGCTCACACAGCTCTACATTCCTCACCTCTTCTCTTTGCATCATTCCCCGCAACCCCCACCTCGCTGAGCTGGTAACTTCTAAACCACAGCCACATCTCACGCTGAGTGATGACGGTGTCGTTTTTGTCAAACGAGCTTACGTGGAGTGCTTCTGCCACTCGAAGGTACTTGGTCTCCTCGGTGGTAAGGCCCTTGTGAGGTGTGTAGCCAGCATCTCTCAGCCCTGCCTGTTGCTCAAAACGCTGAATGTTCTCCTGGGTCTGTTCTGGGAGCAGAGGAGATGACAGTCATGCCCACCCGCTCTCCCATCACAAATGGGGGCAGAGAGCACAGATATCCGCTCTTCTCCCCAGAAGCAAGGGCCACACGGGCCGCCCGAGGAGGTTTCCCCAGACCAGCAGGAATTCCAAACCTCACACGAAGGTTCGAGAACCAGAGGGAGCCTTCCCTCACACCAAGAACAGAAACCACCAGGGAAACTCCTTACCTTCCTGCGATTCGTACACTGTGACATTCCCTTTGTGTTTAGAAAGGCAACATGGAGAAGCCAGCTGGCATTCTCCAAATACAATTTCCTAAGAGGCTCACCGCCCTCATGACCCACACAAGGACCTTCACCAAGAGAAACGGGCCACATTTTGCCTAGATGGCACCAAGGTATCAATTCAATTCAAACCAGAGAACGTGCCTTGAACTAGTCCAGGTCTACCGAGCCAACGTTTCTCGTGTGTCAAAGTGCCCCTCACGGCGGCTGGCACAGCAGACAGACAGATGTGATCGACTTATATTGTAAACAATAAGTCAGTTATGGGAGCATTTGAGACCCTGCTTCCCGGCATATGTTGGCAGTTTGGCTCAAATAAAGTCATAAAATTTCTCTAAAAGAATATGTAAATAAGTCATTTATCCCGTGGAATGAATGACAGCTGAGTTTTTTGCTTACTCTGGATACGACCTAACACAGCCCACGCACAGGAATGTGGCAGCTGTGGACCGAAAGTCCAGAGCCCAGAGTCCTTTATGACTCAGTCATTCCCCTTCGCAGGAACTATTTTATTTCTATCAGAAATAGAAGCTCAGGAAAAAACCTAAATGTATGAAGATGTTTTACTGTCTTACCAGGTAGTTACCTGAAAATTTAAAAGGTAGGAAAGGATTTAATGCATCACAGCACACCAACACCAGTACTTTGAATGTAGCTATTTTTTAACAATGTAAGACTAGAGCAACATCCAAAGAAGTTCATAGCAGTATTAACTGAAAGAAAGGTATGACTACATCTGCAATCATGTAAAAATATGCACACAGTGGAAGTGAATTAGCCGACACCCTGGGGAGCTGGGACGCTCTGCTGCTGGGGAAGCACATCTTCCAGAGAGAAGCCACTGTGCTGGGAGGAGAGGACCGAGCCTTCCTTCTAGCACCGCCAGAACATTCTCCAGCTTGCACAGTACAAGCAGTGGTTGCTGATGCAAATGGCGAGTTTCCATGTGAATGAGAGGACGTCCAAGGGCAGTTTGGACTTTTGGTTCTTGGGCGAGTTCTCGAGTAACTGCGTGGATAAACGATGCCTCCCAGAGCAGAGAAACAAGGAATTCAGACTCCAAAACTGAGCCAACCAGGAGAACCTCTACGCGCCCTGTCCCTGGCAGAGGCTGCTGCTGACAAGCAGAACTGAGTAATGATTAACTGTTAACTTCCCACAGCAGAACCAAAGTTAAAAAAAAAAAAAATGCAAGCTCCCTGTTGCCAGTCTCATTAGGACCACAAATCACACATCCTTAAAAATAAAGAAGCTGAGGCAACAAACTTGCCTCAAGGTCCAGAAAGGGGAACATCTTTGAACCACTTAATTAAAAAAAGAAAAAACAGAAAGAAAGACAAGGCAGGTGGGACCCTCCTCCACCTGCCAGCCAGACTCCCCAGTTCATTTAGGAGTCTTGCCAGTTAAGTCACTGGCCCCAGGCCATTCTGATGGACTTGGGCAAACAAGACGATAGCAGCAGAGCAGCAGGAATACACCTCCATCAACTGGGATGCCTAGTATTTGGCAAAGCTTCACCTCAATGGAGCTTCACTGGTGAGCTGGCACCTGTCAGGCACAGTCAGGACAGGCGAAGGCAGTGTGTCTGCAGAACCCCATGCACGCTTCCTCTCCCCAACCCTCTTCCACTCTATTCTGAGGGTGCAGAGCGCTTACTTGTGATCAGAGAACTCATGATGACACGGGTGGCTTTAGCCTTCACCACTGGGACCTTGTCCATATTGTCAGTGGCCGATGACAGGGTCATGGCAGGGGAGGAGACACTGGCTTCTCCTTCCTCCACCTGTGCAAGAGAGGTAAGGAGGCACTTGAGCAGAACAGGCGGGTCACAGCTAAACTGTTCCCCTTTGGGGAGAAGTCACTGAAACACCTTGAATCTGATACGTGAGGAATCTTTGAAGGGAGGGTTTTTGTCTCCTCCCGATTAGATAAATATCATCCATAGTGACAAGAGATAGACATATAAATAACTTGAATTTATAAAAGTGGGAAAGCCAGAATGTGAAGCTGAGGTCTCCTACTTCCCGTGTCTGTCCAATAGGCTGCTAGAACCCACTACTGCTCACTGACCATGTACCAGGCGTAACTACGCTGGCTTTGGCTTAACTCATCGCTGCATTCACTCAGTGTTGTCAGACTTCAGAGCATCAGGATGCCCTGCATGGCTTGTTAAACAGATCGCGGGGCCCCACCCCACAGTAGGCCTGGGGGGGGGGGGGGCGGTGTTAGAACTCATGTTTCTAACAAATTCCCAAGTGATACTGATGCTGCTGGTCCCCAAGACCGCGGCTCTAACGGTTCTTTAAAACAAACCAAAATAACAAAAAAAAGAGGCCCGTGTGGCTTAGTGGTTGATCAACCTATGAAGCAGGAGGTCATGGGTTCGATTCCAGGTCAGGGCATGCCCAGGTTGGATGCTTGATCCCCAATAGGGGGTGTGCAGGAGATAGCCGATCAATGATTCTCTCTTATCACTGATATTTCTCTCTCTCTTTCCCTTCCTCTCTGAAATCAATAAAAATGTATTTTAAAAAATAAATAAAAAAATTCTATGTAGCTCCTAATCTTTAATGTGAGAGCCAAGAGCTCGCCACCTTCTGTCACTCCAACCCCTGATGCCATGCTCAGGACGAGCAGGGAGGAGAAAATTGGGTTTATTCTTTGTTCTCTACTTCCCTAAAGGAACTAAGACAATCAGAAAGGAGGGGAGAAGTATGAAAAGTGTGTTCTTGTTACAAAACGGAGATTATAATTTTCAGCTGTGACCTCACTGGAGTAGAACGTGACCCTCTGCTTCCTTACTTGGAAGATGCGGGATAGGCAGGCCGAATGAAAGAATGCATGTGATGAGTCCAGCTGCGCTTCCCTTTAAGAGCAGCTGTTCAAAACTGCAGCTGTTCCAGCTGGGGCACCACAGCAAATGGGAAGCCCATTCTCTGCCTTGGCAAACAGCAGCCTTTACAAATGGGAGGGTGTGCCGCCCTTGGGAGCACTGGCAGAGCCCGGCTTACCAGAGGCTCCAGTCCCTGGAAGCCACTGCTGTCACTGCAGGCAGGCTGCCAGGGTCGGGCTCACCAGGACTGCCAGTCCTTTCTACATGGACGTTTACTCCTAGCAACTAACTGGGTCAGACATCGGTACATAATGGACGGGGAATTTCCCCCAGAGCTGCAGGGGAAGCTTGTGATGAAAGGAGCTCCCTGTTCTGAGAGCTTAAGGGAAGGGGTGAGGAGGACCCATTAGAAAGGCATCAAATACAGCTCTACCGAGTCCAAGTTGGGCTGGGAGCCAGGAGTCAGTGTCTCCTGCACACCTAATATGTGTCAAATCTTTCAATCTTCTTTTATTTAATCCCACCACACCTCCATGGCAAAAGCATTCCTATTTCTCAAGCGGAGACACTCAGGCGTGAGGCTCTGTGCCCAAGGTCATTGCTAATATATAGACCATTATGGGATTCATACCCAGGTCTGTTATAGTAAACGAGGGGCCCAGTGCACAAATTTGTGCACCTTGAAAGGAACTGTGGGCTTTGAGGCTGCGGTGGGCACAGGGGCGGGTCTCGGCCCATCCTCTGCGCCCCCGCCCAGCCCCTCCCACCTGCCTGCAACCCCATTCCCCGCCACTCCCGCTCCCACATGCTGACGGCACCAGCCCGCTTGCACCCACTGAAGGCGTGGAGCAATTGAGGCCGGTGCCAGCAGCAGGTGCGGGTGGGGCTGGCACTGTCAGTGGGTGCAAGTGGCAGCTGCTGCCCTGATCACCCCTTAGGAGCAGGGGGAGGTGGAGAAGCCCTCAGGGGCGATCAAGGCTGGCAGCAGCCACTTGCACCTGCTGATGGTGCCGGGCGATTGGGACTGGCACCAGGCACGGGCAGCGGGGGCGAGCGGAGCTGTCACTGGCAGCAGGTGCAAGTGCCAGGCGGGACTGCGACGCACGGGAGCAAGGAATTTTCAGTAACCACCAGAGGCTCGCCCCGATGACAGCGACCAGCGCCCCGCTTTGGTCTGGCATCCCCCCTCACCTGCCCCACCATCCCACCGTGGCCTACGCCTGCCATGTTTAGTGCATGCCCCCTGGTGGTCAGCGCACGTCATAGCAACCAGTTGTTTGGTTGTTCCACCTTTTGGTCTATTAGCATGTTTTCTTTTATTATATAGGATGCTCACTATGTACTTCCTGTCAGGCCCTGAGCTGTCACACAGCTCAAAGTTCAGTGAAACTAGCTGTAGATTAAATGGCCTCATCTGAACTTGGTAGGCCTTGTTTATTCAGCAACAGAACCAAGCAGAAGTGACAGCGGCAGCCCCCACAGCCAGGAAGCACAGGCTTCGGTAACATGCCTGCAACGAGCACGTGAGAACCCCCGAAGCCTGCACAGAGGGGCTGTAGAGCAGGTCGCAGTGGGACGAGGCGTGTAGTGTTTGGGAGTGGCAGCAAGGCCTGAGGAAGAAGGCAGCTCTTATGTGGGAAAGGCATCTGCGGCAGGAGGAAGAGCATGACAAAAAGTACAGCTTGTGTTCAGGAAAGAGCCAACTGTTTCCCCCCAGTCACTCCGGCATCCGCTTCATGCCAGGTCCTCTGCTCGATACTGCAGGTGGAGCACAAAACTGGCACGGCTTCTGCCCTGCAGAGCTACTGGGAGGTGGCAAGTAACGTAGGGCTTGTGACAGGGGCCTGTGGTACAGCGGAGGGTGACAGTCTTATCAGGAGGAAAGTCCTCGCAGAAGAGATGTCTGAAAGGACACCACTTGTCAGGCAGGGGGGAGCAGAGGGAGGAGGGAGGAGAACAGGATGGGATGTAAACATTCCAGGCAATGAAGCAGTGGAAGCAAAGACTTAGGCACCCAATGCCCTGGTGAGTGCAAGAAACCTTGGGTAACTTGCATGGTCAGATCACTGGGGGAGCAGCAGACAGGAGCGGGTCGTGCAGAGCCAGACTATGGAGCTAGCATTTTTAATGCTACGGCAAATGAGATGGTTTGGACAGAGGAGTCTCAGGTAGGAGAACACATAGCCATTCTAGTTTGAATTAAAAAGAAAAAAAGGCCCACCAACTCCAGCTGAGGCCCAGAAAACACACACAGGGACTGGTGGCGGCCAGATCCTGCGGGTGCCGGAGCCACGGAGGCTTCCGGAGCTGAGGAAGGAGAACGAAAGGCTGGGCTTGCCAGAAGCAATCGGCAGGGTCAGGTACCTTGGCGAGGTGCTGGTACTTGCGCTCTGGAATCACTGGCTTCCAGGGGAGGCTGCCCATGTCCGATGGAGGAGGAGTCATGGGCGTAGGGTCCTCCAGGGCATCATCATAGCTGAATGCCCGGCGGCTCATCCCGATGGGCAGGGACATCTTGCCTAGAGGCCCACTAGGCTCAAGAGCTAAGAACAGAGACACCTGTCAGGGTGGGTTCAGCAACTGAGCACGCTAACAGCTTTAAACTCATCTGTAGGCAGGAAACTCTGGGACACAGCAAGAAAAGCTTGTCTGGAAAAGCGAATCCATTCAAGGAAAGTAACCTGTATACCAACCCCTGCCTTTATGCCTGGCACCTAGATGCTCCTCTGGACCCACTCAGCAGCCCTAATCCACTGACTTGGTTTAAACAACCTGAGCAAGTCACACACTTCAGTAAGTCATCAAAGTCCAATCCTGTCTCATTCAAAGCTTTTGCTCTTATGCCAGACTCTGCCCCACAGCACTACCACCGCTCTCCACTCACCGAGACTGAGGCTAATACGTGCTTATTCCCATTTTACAGATGAGGAAAGGCCTACAGGTAAAGTGATTTGCTCCAACTCACACAGCAAGCAGCCAGCTGGGGCTCGACTGCAAACCCTCTGCCTTCCCTACCGCACCACAGAAAACAAGAGCGCGGTGACAAGAAATGGTTAAAATACGCTGCCCAGCGCCACCACTCGCTCCAGCCACCACTCCACTCTGCTCTGAGTGCTCTGCAGGATTTAAGCAGCAGCGCGACTGCCAGCCCAGAAACTGCTGACAACCCGTGCTGCCAGCTGACCCTGTCCTTCATCTGCGGGCCTGACTGGCGGAAGGCCCCGCTGTGACACAGGCACCCGCCCCGCAGCCCTGCCAGCAGGGAGCAAAGTTCACTGAGTGTTTGTTTCATGCAGAACTAATGTCCACATCCTGCCTTCACGTGACATTTTCCTGTTGCTAAAATTATACAATCACTCTCCAAAACATCAGCCTGTGTGGCACCAAGTCCAAATGAGCAAAGACACGTCATTTAAACAGCAAGGGAACCAAGTATCTACCATTATTATTGCTGTTAACATCAATAATAATTACTAATAAATCCCTAAAAACAGAAAGAGGATTAGTGGTTGCCAAGGGCTGGTGGGGGTTAGAGAGTGGGGAGAGGAATGGGTATGAGGTTTTCTTTTTGGAGTGATGAAGATGTTCTGAAATTAGATAGTGGCCACAGTTACCCCAACACTAAATTATTCATTTTAAATGGGTGAATTTGATGGTATGTAAATCACCTCAATAAAAATAAGCCAATAATAATTACCAAATGCCCTTCCTTAACAGGCACTTACATCCCTCATCTTACCTTATTCTCATCAAACAGATATCCTTCCCATTTTCCAGCTCAGGAAACTGAGGCATAGATCTTAGTGACACCCAGCTAGCAAGTGTGGGTGGGGCTAGAACACAGACCTAAGCCAGTGCTCACTCTACATGCAACACTCCATGCGCCCACACTCCAAAGCATTCACATGACAAGTGCAGCACGATGGTCTGGGATGGTCACAGCAGAATTTATGCTAATCACGAGAGCAATGAAAGACAAACGGAAACGCAAGCTGATGAAGTCGAAACTAGAGGATCGATACCAGGATACATGGGAAGATCCCTATTACTCCTCTGAATTTGGGAGCGATTTCAAAAACATCTTAAGACTTCTCCCAACAGCCATCCCCACAGCTTTCCTAAATAATGATAAAGTCAGCTAATATTTACTAAGAAACATCCTACAGATTTTCTGGGCATTAAATGCATATTCATCACTAACTCTGACACATTTTCACATATTTTATGTTTAATCTTTACCGCAGCCCTAAGAGATAGGCACTATCATCTATACTTCACTGATTACCTCAAATTGAGTGATTCAAATTTTGATTACAAAATCACTGCCCCTCCCACTAAAATAGTCCAAGGTGGGACCAATGACTTCAGTAACCCAGAAACAATTGCTGTAGAGACCCACGACTCATGAAATGACTGCTGTTTTTCCAGTTAGATTTTGGGTTCATTATCTTATTAACTACCCAGCCAGGTAGTTAATTAGTTAATAAGATAATGTTATTACCCACCTGGCTGGGTAGTTAATAAGATAATATTTAAGTGATGCCAATCTATTAAATCTAAATACTTTACTGGCCACCAAGAGTAACCAATATGTGGTTCAGAAAAAGTGGTTTCTGGCTAGCACCGTTGAGGACCAAACATGATTTCACCATGAAGAACTGACTTTACCAAAAAGAATTAAGTTTACCAGGCACTTCTGATGGTCTCGAAGCCATTGAAAGACTGGATCCGGGTACTTTTTCTATATAGATTTCAGAGCTGAGTCCCTGCCACCTAATAAGAATAACAAAAAGCGTTTTCTTACAGTGAACATCAAAGAATAGCTCCAGCGCTGTTCTTTTGACAGGCACACAACGCGTGTTATGGCTTGTTTACAACGCTGAAACAACACACATAAATGAGCCAATGGGTGAGCAACATGCCAAGGCAAGAAAAAAAAGCTAATGTCAACGATCTCACCACACCTGTGGCTGATCTTAACACCTACGATAGGACAGAAACACTACACCTGGTGAAAAGGTCACCTTACCCGAGTGAAATGATGTTTACGCTGCCAGAGAGAGATTAGTGAGGAACATGGTCCAGCTGCTGCACGTGAGCTAAGTTCTGGGGAAGAGTCCATCCATTCCAGAGGTTCTAAGAAGAACAAGCAAAGAGCATTGGGCCGGCCCGTCAGCACCTGCCAAACAGCCTCCTATACATCCAGGGGTTCCCCGGCCTGGCAGAAGGGTTAGAAGTCTGGTTTGGTTTGGTTTTCAGGAAGTTACGGCTCAGGGTTCAGCCGATAACTTGACCCCACGGCGAGGGGCTAGGTAGCACAGAGGGTAAATTCATTCTTTGTTGCTAACGCCGACTAATATTTATATGGGTTTTTATACAACACTTAGCTAGTGTTTGAACCCTTGCAGGAATCCCGCCAAGCGGGGATTGTTTATCCCCAACTTAAAGAAGAAAACTGAAAACCAGGAGGCAAGTGATTTGTCCTGGGTCACCGATAAGCGGCCCACCTGCAAGACAGGTAGTTGCATCCCGTTCGCCGGGGAGTTCAAGCAAAGCCCCGAGAAAGCAGAGTTATTTGCTTTTCAACTCGCTACACGGCCCCTCTATCCCGACGCAGCTCAGAGGCAAACGGCGTTAGTTCTTCATTCAAGGGCACCGAGGGCACCAAAGTGCGGCCGTCCCCCGGGTCCGGGCGCCTTCCGAGCAGATACACCCCTGCCACTTCCGCCCCGCCCCCGCCCCCGCGGAGCTCCAGCATCCCCGACACAGGGCGCACGACCATGTCTCTGGGATCTGAAGGGCCAGGTCTGACTCAGCCCCTCTCCCACCCAGCGAGCAGGGAGAGACCACGGAGGTTGGGCCGGGGCTTGGCAGCCGGCGGCAGGGGAGTGGGGGGCGGGGGGAGGTCCCGGGCAAGTCCGGTCGGAGGAAGCAGAGGCGAGGCCCCGCGCGGCACAGCGTCAGAGGGAAGGCCCACTCGGGATCCCAGAGCCTGGGGGAGGGGGAGGGGAGGACTCCGGCCAGGGCCTTGCGGGAGGGGCCGGGAGCGCGCCCCGCTGGCCCCGCGGAGGATGGAGCCCCCGGGAGGGCCCGGCCCGGCCCACCTCCATACCTGCTTTGCCGCCGCGGAGCTGCCTACAGCCCGTGCTCCGGTACTAAACAGGCTCCGAGGACCCACGTCTCTCTAGAGGTGGTGCCGCAGTCGGGATCCAAGCCATGGCGTGAGCGTTGTGGTGTCAATCGCGACTCAAAAGCCTCGGGAACCGACCAGGGAGCCTAAGATGCCGGCTGGGCCGCCGCCTTCGTGATAAAGCCTCCCGAGCCGCTCAAGTCACGCGATACTTGGTCCGGAAGACGCTCAGGGCATGCTGGGAGTTGTAGTCCACGAGCGGAAAGGCCCCCAAGATCCCGCTGTTATTCTAAGTCTTAGATTAGAATCTAAGAGAAGCAATGAGCAGGGACCCTCTTCCAGCAAGAACTGGGTTAGTCAGGGTTCATACTGGTAGCAAAACCAAAAAAGGGGGCAAACCCCATCCGCCTCCTCTAGACAAGGTGGTCCGAATGTCATTTCCCTGTTAAAACACTAACGAAAGTGACGCCTGAAGAGATGCCCTCTCAAATGTCACAACTTGAAGGAAGAAAGTTGTTTTCCCTGCAGGGTTTACAAACATGATAAAGCAACATGTTTCTACCCCACGTTCCAAGCTTGCCGTCAAGCCTCATCTCTGAGGGCTGTGGTTGGCTGGGGAGTAGGTCTCATATTTAGATTTCAGCATTCGTAATCAGGTATGCATAACCAGGGATCACAGACAACAGTGTGGGGAAGGCCTGGGGTGGGGCAGGGGCTGGGAGGAGAAGAGCAAAAGGGGGGTGGAATGGGGGACATCTGTAATACTGTCAACAATAAAGTAAAATTTAAAAATAAAAAGATTTCAGCATTTGACACTTGCCAGGTCTACTGGCAGGACTGAGAGGCTTTCTCCAGACAACTTTAAACTTGAGTGTCATCACCAGGCCACCTCACCTGACTGCATCACACATTAAAGTCATTTCTAAGTTTTAAAAGTAGCTTGTAAATAGCAACAATTACATTGCAATGTGGTGTGTGTGTGTTCAAAGTGTTATTTTGGAACTTTTAAAATAATATATGCCATCATTTTAACCCTCCGTGGAAGCAAAGCTGACACCTTGCCCTCCTCCATCAGCAGAACAGAATGCACATCACGCCTGTCAGAAGGGGAGGAAACAGCACTTTGCAGCCTTCTATGAACCAGAAGGCAGGATCACCTTGTTTCATTCTTATCCTCAAATAAAAGACAACTGAAGCCTTTCCTGGAAGTTACCGACTCTGACTTAAAACAACTTTATCTCTGACTTTTGCAGTACTGAGTCTGAAACTATGGCATGATCGAGGCAGGTAGTAGCCATGTGAGGAAATTGCTGTTTTCCACAAAGAAATAGACTAACTATAAACTTTTAACCATCACAATCTTATGGGGTTCTCCCCTTCAAATGGGTATTGTATTTTTTTTAAAATTGGGGACTTTACTCATCTAAGGCCTGGACTCCCTTCAAAGCTTTCCATGCAACTAAACTAGTTTTTTTTTTAATTTTTTTTTATTGATTTCAGAGAGGAAGAGAGGGGGAGAGAGAAATATCAATGATGAGAGAGAATCATTTATTGGCTGCCTCCTGCACGCCCTCTACTGGGGATCGAGCCCGCAACCTGAGGTGCCTCCAATGGGAATCAAACCCCGACCTCCTTGTTCATAGGTCGACACTCAACCACTGAGCCACTCCAGCTGGGCTAAATTAGTTTAATAAGTGTCTTGGTTGCGTAGTTAAGGAGGATTCAGTCTGTCATGACTGAATCCACAAACCCAAGAAGGGTACCTTCTGAGCTGTCTAAAGTCAGGACATCGTCCTCAGCTCCTGCAGGGGCTCTCTTGTGGCACTAGAAGTCCCGCCCTCCCCTCTTCTGTGCTTTTTTCCTGACTCTGGTTTTGGTTCTTTTTTTTTTTTAAATATATTTTATTGATTTTTTACAGAGAGGAAGGGAGAGAGATAGAGAGTCAGAAATATCGATGAGAGAGAAACATCGATCAGCCGCCTCCTGCACATCCCCCACCGGGGATGTGCCCGCAACCCAGGTACATGCCCTTGACCGGAACCAAACCTGGGACCCTTCAGTCTGCAGGCCGATGCTCTATCCACTGAGCCAAACCGGTTTCGGCTGGTTTTGGTTCTTAACCAAGCTGCTTCCAGTTCTGTGCACAGCCACCTTCCTTCCCCAAGGGCAGCAGCATCTTTGGGAAGTTCTATACGGTCTGACTGCATGGTTCTTTTCTGGGGCCAGACACTGGCCAAGGAGCCCTGCGTGTGGCTGACCAGGGAATACGGTTGCCTTTTTATGTATAGTTACAACATACACTTATGAGGAAACTAATTTTCTAAATTAGTTTTGACCCTGAATTGTCTTTTTGTACTTCCTTGGGCATTTCATACTTTAGTAAACATGAGCCTTGAAAATTAGAATTGACCAGGATCTCTCTTGCCTTCCACTTCATGGGGAAGGGTCACCTGCCTCCCTTAGACCTCTCCCCTCTCGGGCCAGGCCAAGCCTTCAGAAAGGCCCGTTCCCTAGACAGAGCTGCCAGACCCCTCGGCAGACAGGAACTGGGTTACTAGGAGGGTAGCAAGAGGGGGCATTTCTCGAGACTGGGAGCTCTACCTGGAAGCCTGCCCCCTTTGTCATCATAGATGAGGCATCCGCCTAGCAGTGCTCAGGGATTGTCCGTCTCCATTGCCCAATCGGCAGCTGAAGAAACTAATACTTTCAGGGGGACTTTGGCAAAGGTATCTCAGCCAGGAAGCCAGAGTTGAAATTCAAGCCCAAGGCTGAGTAATCTACCTGATAGTTTGGCTGCTGGCTGTCCTTGGCCTCAGCGCCGCCACTTTTTTTTTTTTTTAGAAATATCAGTGAGAGAGAAACATCATTGATGGGCTGCCTTCCTGGCAACTACTTGGTGTACTGGACAAAGCTCAACCAACTGAGCCACACCAGCCAGGGCAGCTTCACTTTTTAAAATCCCTGGGACAACAGGTACATTTCCAAGGAAGAAAAAACTGGAAGCCACATCTCCCTCTAGTGGTGAGGGGGGAGAAAGATTTCATTGTAGAGATTAAGGATGCTGGGCTAGAGACTCAACTGTCAGACTGTCCTTGCAAACCAACTTGCCCTGGCCAGATAGGTCAGTTGGTTAGAGCAGGCACCCGATACGCACAGTTTTGGGTTTGATCCCCTGGCAGGGCACATACAAGAACCAACCAATGAATGCATAAATAAGTGGAACAACAAATCTTTCTCACGTCCTCTCTCTCTAAAACCAATAAAATTAAAAATTTGCCTGGCCAGTGTGGCTCAGTTGGTTGAGTGTCGCCCCATGCACCAAAAGATTGCTGGTTTGGTTCCTGGTCAGGGCATATGCCCAGGTTGTGGGTTTGTCCCCCTAGTGGGGTGCATATGGGAGGCAGCTGATAGATGTTTCTCTCTCACATTGACGTTTCTCTCTCTCTCCCTTCCTCTCTAAAATCAATAAAATCATATCTTTAGAAAAGGTTAAAAAAAAAGAAACCAACTCATCCATCCTACAGATGGTGCAACTAAGGTGCAGAGAACAGAAGGAATCAGGCCGATGTCACACAGCTAGTCTGGAGCAGTTAGTTAGATAGAAATTGTGTTCCTGTGTCTTACTTTTTGTCAGGCACTATGCTGGGTGCTTGGGGTACACTGGGACGGAGGACACAGTCCCTGTGTTGGGCTTAGTTGTGTCCTACCAATACTCATATGCTGAAGTCCCAGCCCCCAGTACCTCAGAATGTAAGTCTACAGGCTTTTTGGGGACCCACAAAAAAATCTCTGAATACTAAAAGTAAAATAATTGGCTCTAATATTTTTTAAAATCTGCGTAATCAAAATTAGTATGTTTAATTGAATGTCTGCACACAGATTATGTCGACTTCATTTATGACAATATATCATTTCCATAAAGATGGCATTTGAGCCCGGCCGGCAGTGGCTCAGTGGTTGAGCGTGGACCTATGAACCAGGAGGTCACAGCTTGATTCCTGGTCAGGGCACAGGCCCGGGTTGCGGGCTCGGTCCCCAGAGTGGGGAGTGCAGGAAGCAGCGGATCCATGATTCCCTATCATCATTAATGTTTCTATTTCTCTCCCTCTCTCTTTGAAATCAATAATAATATTTAAAAACAAAAAAAGATGGCATTTGAAAACAATTTGGGTTAGTTTTCTCCCTTTGAAATAAATTCAAAGTTAGCACCTTAGTAGTCCTGAAAGTCAGTCAACCACAAATTAGATGAGGTACTGTAGCCATTGCCCCCTGAGGTCTTTATTCTTTTATTGATTTTAGAGAGGAAGGGAGAGAGAAACATCAATGGGGAGAGAGAATCATTGATTGGCTGCCTCCTGCACGCCCCCTACTGGGGGGAGTCGAGCCTGCAACCTGGGCACGTGCCCTTGGCCAGAATCGAACCTGGGACCTTTTAGTCCACAGGCTGACGCTCTATCCACTGAGCCAAACCGGCCAGGGCCTCCCTGAGGCCTTGAGGGAAGCTCAGGACGCAGGTCGCTGTACCGGGGTGCGACCTGGGCCTCGGTTTTCCCTTCCAGGAGGCACCGTTTGCAGGGGTGACCGGGGCAGCCGGGAGCTAAGCTCTTGACGCCCAGGAAGAGCTGGGTGGAGGCCGATGTCACCGTCCCCTTCCCCCCGCACCGCCTCGCTCGGTTCAGCACCGGCAGAGGGGGCGGAGGTCCCCGCGCTCGGCCCGCGCCCCCACCCCCGCCCCCGGTCGCGCGGCCTGTCGGGCCCGCGGAGGTGCATTGTGGGGCTTGTAGTGTGGAACCCCGTGGGTGGGTGGGCGCGGCCGTGGCAGTCGCAGCGGGGCCATCTTCGGCGGCCGCTGGATCGGCCTGCGCCCCGGGCCCGCGCCCCGAGCCCGCGCCAGGCCCGATGGCGCCGCGCCCGCTGAGCCCCTTTGGTGCTGGCGCTGGGCG